CACACACACACACACACGCACACACACACACACACACACACACACACACACACACACACAAACACACACACTGACAGGGCCGTTGCAATATGCATTTTTGCCGCCTATTGCAGCGCTCTAGCGCTGCACGGCAAAAACGCATAAAAATAGTATCAATGCATAATGTAAAAGTTTTTGTAACAAATAAACCCTTTACAGTTGAAAAAAAAGCGACGCTATCTCCTAGGATGGCAATATCTATTCAGGGCTGAATATCTGAAAAACTGAAAATATTTGAAATATCTGAAAAACACTACCTAGGGCTGAACAAAATCATCCATTCTTCCAGAGCGGAATAAAACCTCCCAGTCTTCCAGAGTTGTACAGAAACGTCCCAATCTTGTAAGTCCTGTGAACAGAGCCCTCTTCCAGAGTTGTACAGAAACGTCCCAATCTTGTAAGTGCTGTGAACAGAGCCCTTTCTCCGAAAACTGTCCTGGGCCGGCAGGGAATCGAACCACTCCTGTTCACGCCCGAACGTAATGTGTTGCCACTACACCACCGGTTTTTGTGCTCCGGGCTCAGCCTGACAGCACATCTACTGTGTATTTGCCTTTCAACGCATGATACACCTATCTTTTCATCTCTTTTTCTTTGTGGTGGCTTCTTAGTCGGCTTTTCGCGCGGGCTTTCCTTGACAGTGGTGGCAAACAAAGTGAGTTAACAGTTACGTGGACCAAAATACGCTGATCACTGACCGCATCAGCGAAAATCGATTTTTAGCAATTTTTCGGAAAAAAAAGTAACATTTTTGCGCCTGCCCATTCCATCACGGCTGGACCAGTGACGGTCAGCAGATTCAGCGAAATGCGCCCGATATCGCTCCTCGATATCGCTTTCATTAAACTGCAACGTCCACTTATTCAACGAATCATTGTGCATCCAGAAACCACGACCGAAGTCAATGTCCGCATTCTGGAATAAACACAACATTGGAATTGATTTGCGCTTAATCACAAACAGCTATTTTTACAACTATTACATTTTTACACCTTTTTTTTTTAAAAATTTCCCACGCTACTAACTGTAGTAACTTGACATCAACTAAATGTTTGGAAGGCGTCATGGCAATGCTATCCGATGTGGTTGGTTAAAATGTAAATGAACAAATGGAAGAATGTGATTTTTGCTGAGCACGGACCTGTATAACCATTGCAAGCCGTTCATCGAAATCACGATTATCCGTATCGAAACGTGTCAATGACGGAGCGTTCTGGTGATGAGAAATTACGGTATCAATTGCTCCAGCACATGAATACGCATCTGAATTCGAATCCTGCAAACACTTCCTCAGCATTATTAAATATCAATGTCAGAAGTACAGTCCTTATTTTAGTTCTCCATGAGGAGTAAAGGCACTCAGAAGTAGCCCGAGCAGTAGCACATGTCAACAGCAATCATCTCTTGTCAGAGCTCCAACTTTCATCTTTCCAAAAAGCTCAGAAGCCCATCTTATGTTGCTTCCCACTTAGTAATTTAACGCCAGTAACAATTTGAATAATCGAAACGATAGATTTTATCACCAACAAAGCTTTGGCCATTGACTTGTTGCATCAGAATTGTGCTACCTACCAGTGCAGCAAACCTGCCAGCATTTCAAAAAAATCAATTTGGAAAAGAACGTAGGAATTTCAAAATTTTTACTTCTTTTTGGCGTGAATTTTGAAAATTTTGATCTCGAGTTTTAAAAATATCAAAAAACAATACCGAGTTATAAAAAAAGGACATGAAAAAATAAAAATAACTTGGTTATTTGTCAAGACTTTATGTAAAGGTAACCTGTAATCCAGAGCTTTTTGAGCCTCGTCCACTGCTTCCATTCACCAAATCACGTGATGCTTTACCACCGATTCGTTCTGCCGCACTCAGCGGTTTCATTTCTTGTGGGGGTAACGCTTGTAGTGATGCTGATTTTCGCCGCTCTTCCACTACTGGTGATTTTGCCATCGCATTCTGAAAAAAAAAAAAACTGGTCCGAAAAAGCAGTTCCGAAAAATCACTGTATTTTGTTACTGCAGTCAAGGCTGAGCAAACGGTGCTTACCGAATTTATCATGCTCTTGCAAGTAAAGAACAGATTCATTTTCAGTTCAAAAACTCCTCAAAATTTGTTAAATCGAAAAAGAAAAAAACGAAAACCTTATCCAGACACTCGCTATAATGAAGAATTTGTGCTGAATTACTTCCACTTTTCTTTTCCAGCAATTTCATCCTCAGACTACCGCTATGACGATCTACCGGTAACGATGCTGTTGGCATCATCTTCAATTTGCTGGTTAATCTCTGCAAATAATAAAGGGAAACAGAAAGCTGTAATAAGAAGGAATGAAATGAAAAGAGTGAAAAAAGAAGGTGAGAAATTAAAATTAGAAAATTAAATCATGTGCTTTAAGATTCAGTGTGAAGTATACCAATAAATTTACGTAGAAAGTGCCGCTCAATGTAAGCAGTTTATTTAGCAACAGACAAAATGATTCTCTAGCAGCTTTGGGATGAAATATTGAGCCAAACACTTTACATTTACACATGCCAGTGCGCATAGCGCAGTGGAAAGTGGCACTACTGTCATGCAGTAGGTCGGAAATTCGTCTCCGATGGTGAAAAACCAGTCCCTCTACGACTTATCCATTTTTATGCGTTTTTTGCAGCAATGCAATGCGAAAAACGCATATTGACGAGAGGTTGTC